TACAGTAATTTGTAAATGAGTATAAAACATTTTGTTTCCCTATCATCCACTACAGAAAGCAGCTGGATAGAAATGAACAGAGAATGATGAGGATTGGTATAGCCGGCACTCGTAACTGAATAATAAACTTTATTGAGCGAGTAAAATGTGCATATAAAATGGCTTACTTTTTTGGCCTATTTTTTATGTATTATTTAGTTTTATTTGTATTTTTTCACTTTATTAAAAGTCAGCAACTACAGTTTTTTCAGCTGCTGACTAATAATGAACACAAAAACTGTAGTTGCAAGTACAAATAAATAAACACACACTTACCTGTTCCAGAGTCCAGCACTGTGTTCACCGCAGCCATCCCTTCTCCCCTTCTCTCCTTCTCTCCTCCATGGCGCCAGCATCTCTACTGTGGGCACCAGGCTGTGACAGCTTCCAGCTTCACAGCCTGGTGCCCAATGCGCATGCACGAGTCGCTCTGCACCTCCTAATTGGTCCGGCAGTCTCCTGGGACCTGTCAAAGTTCCCAGGAGACTGCGGGAAGGAGGAGGGGGCCAAACCTCCGGTTCACTTCACGTGGTGAGCTGAGCCGGAAGTGGGGAAAAAAAAAAAAATCAAAACCAGGTACCCCACTCCCCTCCTCCCCTCTAAAAGGTGCCAAATATTGCAGTGGAGGGGGAGGAGGCAAATAAGTGGAGCTTCCACTTTTGAGTGGAACTCCGCTTTAATTTTTGTTTGTTTTTTTTTTGTCATCAGGAACTAAAAAGTATTATCCCATACATGGTACTAATAATATTCTGAACAGTAGTATTCAATGTCTTTTATAGCTATATATCCCTTTTGATCATTATTTATATTTCACACCTTAGGGTTAACTTTTAATAAGATTGTAATGAAGTTTGAAATGGTAGGTACCATAAGGTGTACCTTTTTATGACATCCCTGCATTTTGCTTTTTTATTTTGTTTTTTTTTACTTTATTTTTTTGTCAATTTTTATTTTATGTGAATCACTTTTCAATTGTGTTTTTTTGCTTTTCAAAGTTTTTCTGTTGTAAATATCTTCACCCATCTAGGTTATTTTGTGGCAACTGCAACTAATTGGCTGATACTCTATTGAATTGCCTGAAGGGTATGAGAAGGAGTCTTTTTTTTTTTTACATTCATTTATTTGTTTTATATAAATGTAATGTCCTGGCTTGTATTTTATGGCTAAGACCTTGCCAAAACGCATAAGCAATTTTATATGCACATTTTACTCTCTAAATAAAGTTTATCATTCTGAAGACTAGTACCGACTATAACAGTTCTCATCATTCAGTTGCATCTGTGCTGAGAAAACACACAGAGCCACAGCACTGACATTTTACCTCTGTGGGGATTATCTCTGGGCGTAGCACCAGAAAGAAAGAAACACAGGGTTATATTTCTTTCCTTCAGGAGAAATGGACACATGGCAAAACTAAAAGTCAACCCCCTTGTCGGTTTAACACCTTGCACCTCACACCTGCCCAGTTCTGCTTAGATGTTCCTTCCCTTCCTTTTTTGCTCGAATTGGAAGATACTTGGTGGATTCATGGAAGATAATGAAAATCATGGAAGTTTTCTTTAGATGGCCAGTGAGTGCATGTTTTCGCAGTATGTTTAGTATTATTTTCAGTCTGCAGCTGTCCTGCAGTCTGCAGTGAAAACCCATCTGTGTTCAGGTTAGCAGAGGACTCTGTTTCTGGTCAGGCCAGGGTATCTGAGGATCCTTTTGAAGTTATCAAGGCTAGAACTGTGGCAGTTCCCCCATCTCTGAGGGCTCACTGTTATGGGTGGCTAGCAGGTTTTGGACTGTGTTATGGTTTTCTTCTCTGTTTGTCCCTGAGACAGCATGTGTGTTTTTTGCCACAGAAGTGACTGTAAGTGATTCTTGCAAATCTAGGGTCTGTGATTCTAGGGTTGTACTTTTCTGTTGCTGGCATCTCGGCACAGTTTCTGAGGAGCTGCCATTTTAACTTTTTCACCTCCTCCTTCTTCCTTGTAGAGCTATTTTTGTTTTGCGGGCATTTACCCTACTTTTATATTATAATCAAGAAGATTAGTCATGAAATCAAGCATTAGTCATGAAAAGCATAAGCCCAATCTAAGACATCACCGGCACACCATGTGCAGATAAACAGGACACTTTTAAGTTACCAAAAAAGCGACTGCAAGCATCTCTTCGCAAAAGGACCTATTGCACTATGTGCAAGGTCAAGCTTGGTGCAGCTTGTAGCTCCTGCATTTGTCGCTGATTCCAGTCATATTCAGCAGTGATGGAGGCCATTTCTGACCTCCCAGAGACTCATTCCACTTCCTGTCTTACAACAGAGGTGTTTCTTAAATTATTTAAGGTTTTCAGTCTCCATTTGTCCACCTTGTGACTACTTTTGCTCATAGGGAATGTAAAATGCAATTTAACACCACCTGTGGTGGAGAATGATGTAGAAATGCGGAGTATCTCTGGTTCTCTTGGAGCCCCTTGGAGGACTCATTCTTCAGAGGGAGACTCTACCAGCTGAATTTCAGTCAGTTTTGGTGGTGACGGAGTTAGAGGTTATCCTGTCCTTGGCAAAGTTTCATGTTCGAGTGATTCCTGCTACACATTCCAAGAATGAATTCCTTGCAGGAAGATTTTCTCCTGATCAGTGCATTTACTTCAATTATTTTTTTTTTTTTTACCTTGTCTTCTTGAAAGGATCAAGGCAAAGCGCTTTCTAGTCCTTCTCATAGCTCTGGATTGGCTTTGGAGAGTGTGGCATGCTGACCCCATTGATCTCTTAACCAGTGCTATGGGGCCTCTACCAGATTGACCAAATCTCCAGGATCAATTATATACTCCATCCTTGAGTTTTCATTCTCCTATTGTCAGTGTTACAATGACTCCTGTTCAGCCCTGTTTAGGACATTTCCTTGATGTTTTTCCTGTATAGTTTTTCTTGTGACCATCCCTTTTGGAAGGAAGGGTTTCTGAGTTCTGAGCATTGTTCTGTAGAGAGCCCCACATAAAGTGATACTAAACCAACTACCACAGTTTTTTCTTTGTTATGTTCCATCAGTACTATATCTGGATGCACACTGAAAAAAATTAAATTTTAAATACACTTTTAATGCTTTGTACACTTTAGTCATGTGACTCCCCCCCACCTAAAAACCAAAATGTGCAGTCGGTGGATGGAGCTAGCTTGAGACCTCCATGCAAACTGCAAAGTCACTGCAATACAATAGCAGCGAGGCACCCTGTGTTCTCAGACAGGGAGTTGTGTTTGATATGGAATTCCTCTCCCTAGTTTACTGGGCTCCTGTTTCACACAAAGCTTTAGGGACTGTTCACAGATTGCTTTTACCAGCAGCTCTGCTGGTAAAGGCAATCTGTGAACTGTTCCTAAAGTCTATACTTTTTGTGAAACATGAGACTGGTAAATTAGGGAGAGGAATCCCCTAATTATCATGACTCTTAATAGTGCTGTCCTGCAGTCCTAACTTCAGATGCCACCCTCCAGCTGTCACGTGGGGCAGCTTCAATAGAGAAAAGTGAAGGGACTGAAAAAGAGAGTTTATGGAGCAAGTGCAGGGTTGTCCCCATCAGCTACAGAATCGGCTGCCATTTTGTTGAAAGTGAAAGAGGGAAGAGATTTTAAAGGCAGGATCAACCAGGTATTTATCTAAATATAAAAGATCGGAAAAGAAAAGATGCACAGTATGGATAAAGGGCATCATTATAAATTCAAATACCAAGAATAAAGTTTTGGGTTTACTGATTTTAAGTTTACTTCGAAACAAAGTTGGACCTCCATTTTTCTTGATGTGGTCTCCTGTTTTTCTCTTTAATGAGAATATTGTGTTATCTTTTCTGTGTCCAACTCTGTTTTTCCACGAAACATTTGCTCTTTCTTGTCTGGATGTGATGAGGGCCGTGAAGTTTCTTTTAGGTAAACTGATAATATTTTGTTGTCATTACAGATGGTATTAAAGGGTATTCTCTGGCTTCCATACCCACTTTAAAATTCTTAGGAATTGCATTTTGTCAGTTTTGCATTTTTAGATTTTTAGCAGTACAAAATACATTTACCTCTTTGGTGAGTGGAATTTGTCCCCACTACCCACTCTTAGCATTTTTGTTCCTAGGAAAAAAAGGACTGCAGTGAATGAACATCAGTAATTTGTAGCTGCATTGATAAGAATTGTAGCCAGTTAAAATTGCATCTCTGTATCTATAGATTGCCAGAGAAAAAAAAAAGGGGGAGAGCATGGTAGCTGCTACAAGTGTAGTTCCTAGTGTAACATGGCAGTAAGGTCTTTACATCTGTATGTTCTCTAAATTGTTCCGTAATTATGTAGCTGTTTTAGGGTTTGGGTCTCTGTATTGAGTTGAAATCTCTTTACTTCCTGTAATTGTCATTTCTGTTTTAGTAATATTGTGTGGCATTTATTATGGCTTTTCTTCTTAAAGCCTAGGTATTGTAAAGTGAGATGACCTATTAGGTTTTTTTTTACCAGTATCAATATCTGCATAGCAGTTGAAGTAAACTGATTCAGAGCCTTTAAACAGAGTCAGAGTAGGTATTGCAGGCACTGGTCTAGGGGAGGAATTCCGATATACCAAGTGGCCATTCTCCATTCAATACATGGTCTGTAGTTTAACTATCTTGAATGAGGACTTTCTGTTAGCTACACCGTTCTAACACACAGGGACTTCAGCACACAGTTTGCCACAGACCTGCATTGTCTGCCAATAAGGAAAACTGCAAGCCATTTTTTTTACATAGTTGATAAATACCATAAATACTTTTCACAACATAATTAGGCTATAGAAAATAATACTTTATCAGGGTGGCTAATACCCACTTTGATTTGTGCCATTGTACAGTATAATACGTGTGTGTATAATATATATATATATATTATATATATATATATATTTATATATATATAATTTTTTTTTTTTTTTTTTACATCACTAAAAAAACTAATGAAGCTGACAGCATGCATAATTCTCAACATTTTTGCAGGAAGCCTCTGGAAGTGCCCTTGTTACCTTCTTTAGATTATGAGAAGTTAAAGAAAGATTTGGTGTATGGTAATGACCGCCTGAAAGCATTGATACTGCAAGCTTTGCGCTGGGTAAGTAGTACATGTAACCAGCTATCCTTACAGAGCGATTGTTTTTTTCTCCTCTAGAGGTTCTTGATGCAAGTATTGCAATTTCTTAAAGTGTATGCTGGGCACATAGTGCCTTAAAGTGGAACTAAAGCCCTGCTTTTAAAATCTGCAAGCAGACAGGATCTTTATTGCAAAAGACCTATGCAATACAGAATTTTTTTTATTAAATGAAATTTTAACAAGGTTTTCATTTACTTTTTTTCTTATTGAACGATCGTACAAGGCACAAAACAAACCTGTTTAATATGTCTGGGATTGTATCCAAGTAGCAGTTCTGGACAAATTTTAAGGGCTTTCAGACAAAACGATGGAATGCTCTGATGTATGTTTTTTTTTTTTTTTTTGGATTCTCTTCTAATAGTTTAGTAAAATGGCCTTACACTAAAGCTGGCTATACATATAAAGATTTATTTTGCCAAAAATCAAGTCCGCACATCCATGCTAAACAACGTGATTGTACAAATTTCCCATTGTGTTCTGATGGCCAGCAGCTGATTGTCTGCAGTCACTGTTCAGCCAGCATATTTCTGCCTGGCTCCTTTTGATTTTTCATTGAAATTTGTTGTACTGGGTTTGGATTCACAGGAATTTGCCAAAAAGTAAGTCGTCCATGGCCAGCTTAATCTAGAGAATACCAACACTGATGTATATATAGCAATGAATAAAGAACAGTGTTTTTTGGTAGTTGAAATGACCCCAAACCACCTAAAGTACAGTGCTACACTAGAGACCTAGCTGACATCTTTTATGTGTACTAAACCTGACCCATCTACAGTGCCTAGAAGCTGGGTCTGAGAGTAGTTTGGACATACATGAGATGCTCTAGGACACTTGATATGCCAGGAGTAGCTTATATAATAAGTCCTCTTCATAAAAATTGTCAATTTTAGCCATGAAGGTCAATGCTTCAGACCAAAATAACGTGCAGCAGTGGTGTTCCTTACCACTAGTGACTTGATTCAGGGTGCAAAATTTCAACCTCAGTGATGCCAGATAAACCGTTTTATTCCCTGCAGTTTCAATGTAAAATGTTTCAGAAATCAGAGTTTTTTTTTCTTCTTTTTAGAAGAAGCCTGCCTTTATTAGGCGCTGTTTAGGTTGCCAATTGCAAAAATAAGTTCTTTCTGAATTGCAAGCTCAGTGCATGTCTAGGAGAGTATTGAATACTAGCATTTCAGAAGGATGTCAGCAATAGCAACCCCTATATTTCTTTAAAAATCATTTATTCACCATTTTAACATAAACTGAATTATTTTATATATCTTTGATTTTAGCGATTTACTCGATCCCAGCCAGGAGAGCAAAGGGACACAGTCTTACAAGCTTACATAACAAATGACTTATGGGACTGCTACCAAAACAAGCAGGTGAGCAACACTTCAGTATCTGTCTTACAAAATGGCGATTCACCTTTTTTGTTTTTTATTTGGCCCATGTATATGGGGCTTGATGTGATATTTTAGTCCGCAAACTTTGTTGATTATGTTTTGGAGCAAATATACACAACATGCATGCATTGGGAAAATTTACTGGAAATGCAAACTTTTCTTTTTTATTTTTTACTATTATTTATTTCCAATAAAAATCAAGAAAAAAAAAATTATGCATCTGAATTCATTAAAAAAATAAAACCCTATCTGTTCTGAAAAAAATGTGAGGCATTGCCGAAACAGGAAAAAAAAACTCTGATACTGACCTGGTTAAAAGCATGAAAGTGTTAGTGTCACACAGTACAATGTATTTAGTCCACCAATTCATAGGGTTCCTTCAGAAGTTGCTAAGGGTTCCTTAAGCTGTAGCTGATTTACCTCCCATTTGATGTCTCCTGCATCCTTCCGGGGCCAATGTCAATGTCCAAGGCCTTGGGAGAGTCAGCAGCATGACACTAATGATCTTTTTAGTTGTCTGTAAGGGGGGCATTCTTCCCAATGACCACCGATGCAAGGGGCAGTTTTTCCACTGACCCCTAAACAATTGGTTTTAGTTGAGGTGGCCCAAGATCAGAAAATAATTTTGAAGGTTCCTCTGACGTAAAAATGTTGGGAAAGGCTGATTTAGCCTGTCCTTTGTCACAGGCCTGGTACATATTGCAGGGCATGCTGCTCTTCTTTTCTTGGGTATTGGACTATACCATCCTTGAGTAAAGAAATTTCTACTTCCCACTTGAGGAGGGTATCAGGCCACTGCTGTAAAAAAGTTATTTCTAATATTACATGACTTGCTGTGATGTTGGCATACTTTTGTATTACAGTACTTTCTTGAGCAAAACCAATCATACGCTTGCAAGAAGGATCCAAATACTGTACATTTTACTAGTTTCTAGTTTTTTAACTAATGTTTCACTTACAGTAGTTTAGTAGGTCAGAATAACTGGTAGCATTTTAGGAAGAAGGTAATCAGTGGTTTCCTCTGTATATCTTTTCTGAAAGATTTTCTTACCAAATCCTAAAATGAACACCTAAAAGTGTTCTATGGTCACAGTATAGATTTTCATGTTATCACATCAGCATTGTAAAAGCAATACCAACAGTAGTTCTTTTTCACAGTCTGATAAAAGCTTACTTTAAAATGCAGACTTTCTGCATTTTATCACAGCGTGCAGGAAGAGATTGCATGTCACTGTACAGCAGCGCAAATCAATGCACTGCTGTGCCATGATATAAATGTCACTTTTTGCACTTCAAAATAAAGCTGACAAAAAAAAGGGGAGGGGGGAACTGTGTGATGTGCTGAAACACGTTTCACACTGCCCCCTACCGCTGGATCCACGCAACCAGAACGGAGAGCTGCCTGTACACTGAATTGCTGTAGTTTAGTGTGCGGGCAGTGCAACCGGGCACTTAAGCTGGCCATACACCAATTGATTTTTCAGTCAGCCTCCAGGCTGAACAAAAAAATTTAACAGGTCCTTCTATCTGCACTAACGGTACCTGGCTGCAGGTGGGAGGTGGCCAACAAGGCAAACCCATGTAGCAAATTTCAGCTGGTTCATCAGGAATTAGTTAAAATTTGCATAATCTATAACTTGCTTTAGTTAAATGAGTCTTATGGGAAGAAGTCTAGCCCTCAAAACATGAGTCATTAAAAAATAATGGGTGTCAATCACGGCATATGGCTCAGTTGATATATCATGTATATATCTGTAAATTATTTTGTTTTTTTTTATTTTCTTCATAGAGAAGTGTCCTACAGTTGCTTCACTCCAAAAATGAGATAGTGAGACAAAACACAGCTCGCCTTATCAATGCTTTTGCATCATTATCAGATGGTAAGACACCATATTGTATTTTTCATTCTTGTGAATATTCAGTGAGATGCCCCATAGCCATACACCCATAAAATGAGCATATAGGGACATAACATATTCAACAAAATATTGACTGTTGAGTATTAATATATTTGTAGAAGAGATCAATACATATCCTTTGTATCCTAGGCCGGGTTTATCTAAGTCAGAATCCTTACTTACTGCACTCACTGGAGGCCACACTCAAGGCAGAGGAAAAAGATTATATTACTAAGGAAAATGTTCTGGGCTCTCTGCAGAAACTTAGCCTCAGGTAAGATCCAAACGACTGTTGCAGCTGCAAAGGAAAAAGATAAAACAAACAAAACTATACTTCAGTTTTAGGCTGGAGAATAAAATGTTTGTGTAGACAAAAAATGTTATCTTAATGGTAGTGTACAGGACACAGGATTTGTATTGTTAGCACATGGATTATATGCAGCTACCTGAAGGTGATCGGACGCTGGTAAAAACGCTGCAATGGCTTCCTCAAGCGTGCACCATATAACCCCACACAATCTGTGAAACTCTAGTTTTTTGCTAGTGTCTTTAGGTGACAGACCTGTTCGTTTTTTTTTTTTGTTTTTTTTGGTTCCCAACCATTCAATTTTTTTCACTGAAGTTTCTATATCAGTATCTGACTGCTTACTGCCCTGGGCTGTCTAGCAGTTTCTGAATCACTTTCCCTGAGTGTGTATCTTCTGGACTCCATAGTATGGGGCTGGACAGTAAAGTTTGCTTTGGGCACTGGATCCTGCATTAGGCACTCACTTAGGCACAAAGCGCAACATGTGTAGTTAGCCATGTGATGTAAAGGTCCAGGGCTGTGATCCATTTCTATGGTTCCCACACCCTTAAGACGCCTTTGTGGATTATGCCCACAGTGATGGGTGAAGGTTGAACCTCTAGTAGGTCCAGAGTTGTGGATAAAGTACAACAGGATTTCCCTATATATTTACACAGGATCCTGGCATTTTTTTTAACACAATCCACAGCGCATAGCACATTATGCGTTTTTTTTAAGGAGAGGATTTTGGTGTTGTTTACTTTATTGTGGCAACACCTACCATTTTGTGTCTAACATTTCTCAGCACAAGCAATTTAAATATGGCAGGTTTTTCTCCTCATATCCTGACATCACGCCTCCTTCATGGTGTGCTCTTGCCTTTTCTGCCAAAAACACAGCACAATGCTGCACTATTGCTGCCATTTTCTACAGAGATAGAGCCACAGGAACACCCTCCCTCCATTCCATCCTCCATCAAATATCTAACTCATTGGGCATCCCCATACTTGGCAATGGCAGATCACATATGCACAGGGGAGCTAGAACAAAAAGGCCAACTAGCATGCATTCTGCAGACAGCCTGCAGAAAACTCAAACAGCTTCTCATGGTTATAGCTGTTCATCTGCCCCAGAGTAATGCTCTATTATGACACTGCTTCCATTATCTCACTGCCTTCTTAGGCACACAGCATGCAGCCTGTCTATTTTTCTCTGCTATTTGGAAAACTTTGGAAAACTTGCAACACTTCTAGAACCTTTTGTTTCCAGAGGCCAGAAAATGCTACATATCCTTTATATCTCTTGATCCTGTTCAGGATTCAAATGCAAATATTATGAAGGAACGTATTGAGAACCCTGATTTTGTAGTAGAGGTTGCTAAGGATTTTTCCGCTTTCATTTTGTGAGATTCAAGGTGTGGCTTCATGCCAAATGTTCTCTACTGTGGACACACGATCTCCCCACAGTTTGAATAAGCCCCTATGGCATTAAGAGGCTGGCTAAGTCGAAAAAGACTTTTCCCATATACACAAAGATTGATTGTGCATTTTGTGAGGAATGGTTCAAGCCTGAAAGGGTATTCACTCCTAAGCTTTTTGCTGATATATATCTTATAAAAAAAAAATTTTTTTTTTAAAAGAATGGATTGTTCTGGTTGTGGATCATGCCATTTCACTGCTGAATAAACACCTTACAGTTCATTTTGTGAGGATGTTTCCTCTTTTAATGTATCTGTTGGTCAGGCACCTGGAAGTTCTCTTAAAGGTCCCCCTTGCTCTTGCAGGTCTTGCCCTGCAGCCAGCTATTGCTTCTGTGTCCCAGATTAGTGCCAACTGAGCAGAACATATGAAAAGAGAATATGCACCTGCCTATAAGGATCCTGCTTCCTTAGAACAATTACAGGTAATGCCTTCATTCACCAAGTCTCTAGAATGTTCCTTATCTCTGTGCGAACGTGAGGATTTTGTGACTAAAAGCTTGGTCTGCTGAATTGGCTTGTAAAAAGGTGAATGCTTATTTGGAGAATTCCTGTATAAACGCACTGGGGAAAGGTGCTTTTACACCAGAGGAGGCCTAAATATCATATTCCTATGGCTACTACTACTGAAAGAGTCCTTTTCATCATCCCCAGGCGTCTGCTTCCAAACCAAGGCTTTGCACCTCCTTTCTCCATAAACTCTGGACTCCTAAATTCACCTTGCCTACCCAAAACTCTCCTCACATTTATGGGGCTCTATCTTTCGGCGTTAGCACCAGTTTGGATCTGAGACTTCACAGATTTCTGGGTCCAATCTGTCATTTGAAAGGGGTAGAAAATATAGTTTTCATCTCTGCCCCATCCTCGCTTTTTGTCTTCCAATCTGCCAGCTTCAGACCAAAAGGAAGGTAAATTTAACCTTTTCCTGCTAGCCTTATGCACATATGTGGCCTTTGGGCAGGTGGGCTTTTTAATGTTGAGCAGCTGCATATATGCGTCCATGAGGAGCGACTTTTCTGTGCTGAGAGTGTACCCACTTCTTGCTTCCAGCACAGTAACTAAGATGGTATGGACAGCATCCGATGCATACTTCGCAGTGTACTACAGTGGTCAAAAGATGTGAAAACTTGCTTCCACCTCCCAGCATTTAGATCTTCTTATAGGGCTGAGGGTGGCAGCAAGGGGTTAATCGCTTTGCACCAACTTCAGGAACAAAGAATTGTTGTATCAGTTCCTTTCGAAGAAAGATTGAAAGGTTTCTATTCAAGCCTATTCACAGTCCCAAAACCAAATGGGGGCATCCGACCAATACAGGACCTAAAATTCTCTGAGCAGGTATATTTGTGTATCAGAATTCTGGATGAAATCACCATGATATGTCATCTCTAAGAATTCCTGCTATCAATAAACATACAAGATGCCAATCTACACATCCCTATATTCCAAACACACCGTTTTAAGCGACTTACACTTCAAATTTGTAGCACTACCACACAGTTTCTCTTCTTACCCTGAGTGTTCACAAAAGTGCTTTCCCAGTTTCTGGCTCTTCTACCTCTTTGGTTCTTCGAACCCAGGGCATTCATGTCACAGGTTACCTGGACAGCCTTCTGCAGAAGGACTCCTCAGCCACAAACTTGGCTATCAACGTCCAGTGATTGGTTCAGTTCTTTAAAACCGTTGGCTGGTTAAAGTGGTCGTAAACTCTATTTTAAGAATTTTCCTTATAATAAAGCTTAGCTGTAGGTAAAATTAATGCATACTAGTCTAATATGCCTTTATCTTGCATGGCTTTTTTTCTTCTTTATTTTAGGATGTAGATACCGCTTTAATTGACTTTCCAAAATCTACTTCACCATCTGGAGTACATTGGGTCTAATCTTGGACACAGCCTAAGCCAGAATTTTCTTTTCCCCAAGAGAAAGTTGCATCCCTGATGTCCCAGACAATGCACCCTCAGGTCAAAATGGTCTAGGTTTGCTTTCATATGAGAGTTTTGGGCTTGATGGTTGCCTCCTTTGAGACCGTTCCTTTTGTCCAGTTTCACTCCAGACTTCTTCAATCCTGCAAACTTGTGACGTGGAAAAGTAAATACAATCTTTGGATCTCCTAGTGCTTCTGTCCAACCAAAGCTCTCCCTGGCTTGGTGGATCCTCAATCTTGCTTTAAAAATAGGAAAAGCCTGTCCTTCACACATTATGGAAGGTGGTGACAATGGATGCCTGCCTTAGGCTAGAGCAGAGTTTACAATTTCCTGAGTGTCCAAGAGAACTGGTCCCCACATGAGTTGAAACTACCATCAACATTCTGGAACTGAGAGCCATCAGATTATCTCTACAGAACTGGATATCCCTTCTGTAAGGTCACCAAGTCTGGGTGCAGTCATGAATGACACAACAGTGGGCCACATAAACCATCAGGGAGGCACCAGGAGTCATGCTACCCTAAAAGAAAAGAGTGTGATACTCTCCTGGGTGGAAACTTACATTCCAGCTGTCTCGGCAATTCCTGGAGCTGTCTCTGGAGAGCTAACTGGAATGCTTAGTTTCATGGAAGTGATCTCTGCACCCATAACCAAATGTCGATATCCTGTCCTCCAAGTTCAACAACAAGCTGACCAAATGTGTACCCAAAACCAGGGATCCTTTAGCCTTTGCTGTGGGTGCTCTGGTAATTCCTTGGACTCAATTAAGACTAGTTTATGCCTTCTGTCTGATGAAAATCTTCCTCCTTCTGCTGCACAAAATACATGATGAAAGAGTTTGTGTGACCATCATCACTCCAAACTGGGCCAAAAGAATGTGGTACACAAACATACTCAGACTTCTGGCAAATACGCCTTGGCTTCCTCTGAACAGACCAGTCCTACTGGCCCAATGCCCCTGTTTCCATCCTGCTTCTCAGTTCTTTTATTTTTTTTTTAATTTAAATATTTATTTGTTTTCAAATATAGCAATATAAATATTTCCAACACAAGAAGTAATAAAATACAACATAACAAATTTCTTCTAAAAACACTTATTGCATATCATTTTCTCCCCTTAACCCCCTTCCCTCAAACCCCCCTCCCTCCCACCCCTCTTCAATAAACCCCTGACATCTGTCCGATTCCCATCTTTATTCTTATTCACGGAGTAACTTCTTTCTTCTTTGCTCTAAATTCCTCCCATTTCTTCCATTTTGTATAATAAACCTCCATCTTGTCTTCCTGTATATAGTATAGTTTCTCCATTCTAACAATCTGATCCACTCTGTCTATCCAGTCATCTACCTTCGGTGCCTCAACTTTACGCCAAAACCTAGGTATCAATCCTTTAGCTGCATTTAAGTAGCACTCTATACCCATATCTTTAAATTTATTCATTGATATTTCTGTGATATGAAAAAGGCATATTTCAGGGTCCAAACCAATCTCAATTTCAGTGATATTCCTAATTTGATTTATAACCTTTCTCCAGTAAACTTGTATTTTTGGGCACCCCCACCATATGTGATACGTTGTGCCCCCCTC